TAATATTACCATTGCTCTGAACAAACAATGAAATTACAAATTTCTGAGGCTACTTATTAGATGAGTTTTCTTTGATATGAATGAAGGCTACAGTCTAATTAAAATTGAAAAAAAAGAAAACAAAAGCCAAAGTTTTGTGTATTTATTTTTTAACTGCTATGACAAAAAAAAAGTTCTGCAGCATGAAGCTCCCCGACTTCAATGCCATAACTCTTGGTTTGGGAGATCAGAATAACAAATAAATTCTCATAACCTGGATATTGATCTAGGCGCCCCCCCCCCCATTGCCCATGTTTTAATACTCAGACCCTGTGAATAATAAAAAAATTATCTTGGCAGATGTAAGTAAGGATCTTGAGCTGAGATGACCCCAGTTGGATGATCAGAGATACGCAGGGAAGACTGATAGTGGCCACGTCACTACAGAAGCAAAGGCTGAATCGGTGTGGCCATAAGGCACAGCCACAGAAAAGATTTCCTGGGGCATGCATCCCTGCCAAACACCGTGGTTTTAGACTTACAGTCTCCAAAACAGGGAGAGAATATGCTTCCGTTACTCTAAGCCACCCAGATTGTGATAATTTGTACAACACCCACAGGAAATTAATACAATTGGGGAAACTATTTCCTAATCTAAACTGCCTGATCAAATTTTTAATAAATTACAACTCAATTTTTTGTCTTTCTCTCTTCTTATGCTTCTAGCTAGAAAATACTTTTTGGTTCAAAATGCTATTTCTAAATGGCACGAGATCAATAAATGCTGATTACATGCATTGTTTTGAATGATGTGAACTGAGTTTGAATACTTACTAACACCTGCGCTTTCCAGCAGTGTGATTTGAAGGCAAGTTCTTTGATTTTTTTAAGATCTTGATTTTTCTTATCTATAACAGAGATAGTAATGGTAACCTCAGTAGTACCTCAATGATGTGAAGACAAATTGAGATAATGTCTATACATGTTAGCAGAGAACCTGGTATATGAGAAACATTAGAAAATAAGAGGTATCAAACAATGCTAGTTCTAGTATTAAAATGATCATGAAATTACTGTTGCTTTTCTTTACATGTAATAATTCGCATGCTTTTTTGTCTCTTAAATGTATGACCAAAAGAGATTTTTTTTCCAGGCTGTATTTGCCAGTGATCTAAACCAAGTACAAAGAGAAGGACTTGACAGCACATTCTGACTTCCACAGGCAAGGCCTATGTTGCTGTGGTGTGCGCTCCAGCAGATTCCAATGCAGATGGACGCAGCATGAGAGTAGCACTGCCCCGTGCTCTATCGAAGCAGACATTCAGATCATCTCCATCGCATCTTGGACCAGAGGTTGGAACTGCCCACCTTTTCATGACACTTAACCATTGCAACGCCAATGCTCCTTGCAGTGTGTGTGTACAATTGGGGGCAGGAAGGGGGTGTAGTGAAGAGCAGAGCATTGGGGACAGAAAGGACTCCTGCTGCTAGTTGCTGCCTCTCTCCTTAATAGGAACCCAGGTGTATGTGTGTGGTGGTGGTGGGCG